GCTGGAATTGCAGTGAAAGGTGGTTCTATTGACTCAAGGGGGCTGAATTTTTCAGATATTTGTTCAAATTTAACCATTTATCATTTTCCTTCCACAATTATGTGCCGCTTTGTGTTGGTCTATTTGGCTGGAGATGATTGCACACACATTGAAAGAAAAAAAAAAAAATTAGTAATACATTAAGGCAGGAGTGTCCAAACTATGGCCCTCCAGCTATTGAAGTACTACAAGTCCCATCATGCCTCTGCTTCTGGGTATCTTGCCTGTGGATGTCAGAGTCCTGTAAGGCCTCATGGGACTTGCAGTTCCTCAACACCTGGAGGGCCATAGTTTGGACACCCCTGCTTTAAGGGAACCTACAGCAAAAGAGAACTTCAACTACTCCCTAATCAATTGTCCAGCAAACCTGCTGCCACCTAGCCATGGATTTTAGTATTGACTTACCCCATTTTCCAAGGGAGATGAAGCAACACTATATTGCCAAAAGTATTGGGACGCCTGCCTTTACACGCACATGAGCTTTAATGGCATCCCAGTCTTAGTCTGTAGGGTTCAATATTGAGTTGGCCCCCCCTTTACAGCTATAACAGCTTCAACTCTTCTGGGAAGGCTGTCTGCAAGATTTAGGAGTGTGTCTATGGCAATGTATGACCATTCTTCCAGAAGTGCATTTGTGATGTCAGACAAGATCTGGCTCGCAGTCTCCGCATTAATTCATGCTAAAGGTGTTCTATTGGGTTGAGGTCAGCACTCTGTGCAGGCCAGTCAAGATCCTCCACCCCAAACTCAATCATCCATGTGTTTATGGATCTTGCTTTGTGCACTGTGAGCAGTCATGTTGGAACAGGAAGGTGCCATCCGCAAACTGTTCCCACAAAGTTGGGAGCATGAAATTGCCCAAAATGTCTTGGTATGCTGACGCCTTAAGAGTTCCCTTCACTGGAACTAAGGGGCCAAGCCCAACCCCTGAAGAAACCCCACACCATAATCCCTCCTCCACCAAACCTTACACATTGCAGTCAGGCAAATACCGTTCTCCCAGCAACCGCCAAACACTTCTATCAGATTTCCAGACAGAGAAGCATGATTTGTCACTCCAGAGAACACGTCTCCACAGTCCAGTGGTGGCATGCTTTACACCACTGCATCCAACACTTTGCATTGCACTTGGTGATGTAAGGCTTGAATGCAGCTGCTCAGCCATGGAAACCCATTCCATGAAGCTCTCTACATACTGTTGTGCTAATCTGAAAGTCACTTGAAGTTTGGAGGTCTTTAGCTATTGACTCTGCAGACAGTTGGCGACTTCTGCGCACTTCAGCATGCCTGACCCCACTGTCATTTTACGTGGCCTACCAGTTCGTGGCTGAGTTGCTGTTCCCAATTGCTTCCATTTCGTTATAATAACACTAACAGTTGACTGTTTACTAGCAAGGAAATTTCACAGATAGACTTATTTCACAGGTGGCAACCTATCAATGTACCACGCTTGAATTCACTGAGCTCCTGAGAGTGACCCATTCTTTCGCAAATGTCTGTAGAAGCAGTCTGCATGCCTAGGTGCTTGGAGGTCTGCATGACCTGTGGCCATGGAGGTGATTGGAACACCTGCATCCAATAATTTGGAGGGGGTGTCCCAATACTTTTGACAATATAGTGCAGGGGTGGCCAACCTGCAGCTCTCCAGCTGCTGCAGGACTATCCATCAAGTTCCATCATGCCTCTGCAAGTCAGTAACTTCCCATCTTTGCAATGCCTCATGGGAAATGTAGTTCCAGAACAGCTGGAGAGCCACAGGTTAGCCACCCCTGATATAGTGTATATGACTTAAACGATAAATAGACTTACAAGCATATGTGTATCAAAAGGGAGAAGGGAGGCCTTCACTGGTGAGTTCTTCTGGAAGCTAAAATGGCTTTGGACTGACGTGTTCCTGTTTTTGAAAAGACTAGACTGCAATTGTAGTGAATACCCAATAGATGGCTCCCTTCTCATTGCAATGCTGTGATATACAGAACAATCTCACTCCAGTGTCTGGTTGCCTACTGTAGAACTTAGGGTGTCTTGTGTGTGCTTTTATAGTCTTGCTTGCTAATCACCTGTTCCCACCACGACTGAGCACACTCTGCCTGCCCTATCCTTTGCTTTGGATGTCCTGTTACTGACTTTTGGCTGGTTATGCTTCTGCTTTGTGTTGCATCTGACTGGCTGGTTTGACCCTTGGTTCATCCTTATTTGACTGTCTGGCTCTCATGCATTATCTATGGCCTGTAAGGATGTTCTCCACCTTCACTGCATTGTGTTCAGCTTCCTGGGGGTTTGCCAGAAACTTCAGTCACCCACGTATGGTGCAAGAATTCATTGCATCCCTGAATGGCTGTCAAGTGTAAAAAAGTGGTGGTTATTAAAACCAAATAAGTTTGCATCACTTATAGAATTAATGTTAAAATAGGTCTCAATGATTTAACATGAAACTATGCCCGTGTCTATTCCATTTTTCTTCTCACCCCAGAAATATGAAAATCAGTCTAGTTATGTAACTTCGTAAGTTTGAAATGTAAGTTCACAGAAGTAGCAACAACTCGTTTTCAGGAAAAGAATTTACAAAATGAGGTAGAATCTCATTCTAATAAACATTACAGTATATAGTTCACAAAATGCTAAAAGAAATAGACATCTTTAGATGCAAGTACTGTGTTCATCAACATTGTTACCTTACTGAAATGTTCAAGATATTTATGTAAACAACATCCAATACAGAGAAAAAGACTATATGCAAGTTAGAAAAACAAATCTTTAAAAGTGATATTAAAACACTGCCACCATTCTCCTAGATTGTAAGCTCTAACGAACAGGTCCTCCAATTCCTCTTGTACCAAAATTGTAACTAATGTCTACCCTCATTTTGTAAAGCGCTGCTTAAACTGTTGGCGCTATATAAATCCGTAGAATAATAATTTTTGCTTTATATCATGTTTAAATAATACGACGGGTGTTCAAGTCAAACTGGGACTTTTGAGTTTATATAATAAAAACAACAAAGATCAAGAAGTGGAAACTGCATTTATTTTTCAACATACTCCCCTGCTACATTTATACACCTATCCCAGAGTTTAACTAACGCCTGGAAAGCTTTGGCATAGAAAGATTTGTCAGAGTACGTCTGAACCATCCTAGGACAATTCGTTTCACTTCATCATCATTTTGTACACCATTCCCACAGAAAGATTTGTCTCTTGCCACATGGTCAGCTGGAACAGGGTAAATCAAAGGGACAGAAAAGGAGAGGGTTTATGGAGCATGTGCAGAATTGTCTATCATCCTCAGAATCTGCTGCTATTTTACAGACAGTGGAAGAGGGAGGAGAGTAGAAAGGCAGGATCAACCAGGTATTTATCTAAGTAATGGGAAGAGAAAGTACGCACAGAATAGATAGGACATCATTATAAATTCAAATGTCAAGAGAAAAGATTTGGATTTAGTGACACTTTATAGACTCAAACTTGTATAGGATGATAACACATTTTTCCATGCATTACCATATGCGTGGCCTTGAGCCTACCATTGAGCATTCTGGGTTCTAGTTATTTTGAATGGTTTTTAACATGCTGCAATCACCTGCACTACAACAAACCACAATGCAAGAAATACGCTTTGTGGTACTGTCAGGAATGGACTGGCCAGCAATGGTGGGACTCACCTGCCTTTTGATCTGCAGTACCAGGGCTGGCCAGCGGATGCTCCCAGCAATCAGAGACTCAACTTTGCAGCCAGCTAACACCTGGAACTGATTATGCTGGGGTATTTAAGGGATGGCCAGACCCACAGACTCTGCCTTGGTGTTGTGTTTGGTTGCACTGTATTATGTTTTAGTATTGCACTGCGTTTATGTTTGTATTGTTAGTGTTAATAAATTATATTGTTTATAACATATCTGAGGTCTGCGTTTCCCTGCGTCAGCCACACATTTCTGGTCACACCTGGGAGCCCTGACATTACACCAAGGCCAATCCTGACCAGAAGTGGCTGCACAGGGAAGCCATCTTGGCTTGTTGCTGGGAAGGATGGATCTGGATGAGGTTGTGTATTTATATCTGCTAGTGTTTGATGACAGGGAGTATGCTTATCAAACTCTGAAGGAGTATCCCCGGGATGAACTACTAGAATGTATACGGCTCGCTCATGTTCTAGTAGATCAGGGCACAGAGTTCTCTGAGGTGCAGCCTTTGATTGAGGTTTGTGCTGAGTTGGTTTCATCTGGTTCCCCCGAATGCAGGGATGAATTTTTGCCACCATTTAGTGCAGACCAGGTAGAGTCCCTGGTGTGGTTATTAGAGGATGATGTGGGTTACTTTCTGGAGCGTTATTCCACATGTTCACCACAGACACTAAGAGATTGTATAAATGCAGTGCAGTCATTGACCAGACAGGCTTTGTGTAAGCTCAGCTTTGTTCAACCCCTACTGCAGACATGGACAGACTTGTTGCACCCAGCCTCAGTCAGCTTACAAAAACCCAGTCCTGCTTCTAACTCTACTCCTGTATTCCCACCAGCTCCTCCAGTTACAGCCCAGTATACTTGGCTATCTACCGCATGTCAGTACCCTGTTCCCACTCGCTGCACCTATCCTGCCTTTAACCCTGTAAAAAAGCCCTCTGTAGCAACTGCTCCCTCTCCTGTTCCATCCTCCAGTTTTTCTCTGTCTCCAGCATGCTCCATTCGTTTGCAGACCTGCGTTTACTTGCAGTGCTCCAGTAGTTAAAACCAGAAAAAAGCGAAAATTCTTTCCAACCAATACCATCCTGCCAGTATCCAAACCGGTGAACTTGCCTTCCGTGACTCAGCCTGAAGCCTCTACTCAGCCTGAAGCCTCTACTCAGCCTGAAGCCTCTACTCAGCCTGATGCCGCTACTCAGCATGATGAACTGATGCAGCCCGACGATCCTATTAGGCCAGTTGACTCGATGCCCGCTGTTGATCCAGATGATCCGGTACCTGACCCAGTGCCCGCTGTTCCGCCAGTTGACTCGATGCCCGCTGTTCCGCCAGACGACTCGGTGCCCGCCGCTTCGTCTGGGGGCCCTAGACCTGTTGCTCCGCCTGAGGGCCCGAGACCTGTCGCTCCATCTGGGGGTCCGGCGCCCGCCGCTCCGCCTGAGGGCCCGAGACCTGTCGCTCCATCTGGGGGTCCGGCGCCCGCCGCTCCGCCTGAGGGCCCGAGACCTGTCGCTCCATCTGGGGGTCCGGCGCCCGCCGCTCCGCCTGAGGGCCCGAGACCTGTCGCTCCATCTGGGGGTCTGGCGCCCGCCGCTCCGCCTGAGGGCCCGAGACCTGTAGTTCCGCCTGGGGGTCCGGTGCCCCGCCTGGGGGCCCGCTCCCCCGCCCGGGGGCCCGGTGCCTGCCGCTCCGCCTGGTGGCCCTGCTGCTGCTTCTCCTGGTAGCCCGATGTGCCTCTGCCCGGAGTCCAGCCCGATGTGCCTCTGCCCGGAGTCCAGCCCGATGTGCCTCTGCCCGGAGTCCAGCCCGATGTGCCTCTGCCCGGAGTCCAGCCCGATGTGCCTCTGCCCGGAGTCCAGCCCGATGTGCCTCTGCCCGGTGTGCCTCTGCCCGGAGTCCAGCCCGATGTGCCTCTGCCCGGAGTCCAGCCCGATGTGCCTCTGCCCGGAGTCCAGCCCGCTGTGCCTCTGCCCGGTGTGCCTCTGCCCGGAGTCCAGCCCGATGTGCCTCTGCCCGGAGTCCAGCCCGATGTGCCTCTGCCCGGAGTCCAGCCCGATGTGCCTCTGCCCGGAGTCCAGCCCGATGTGCCTCTGCCCGGTGTGCCTCTGCCCGGAGTCCAGCCCGATGTGCCTCTGCCCGGAGTCCAGCCCGCTGTGCCTCTGCCCGGAGTCCAGCCCGCTGTGCCTCTGCCCGGTGTGCCTCTGCCCGGAGTCCAGCCCGATGTGCCTCTGCCCGGAGTCCAGCCCGATGTGCCTCTGCCCGGAGTCCAGCCCGATGTGCCTCTGCCCGGAGTCCAGCCCGATGTGCCTCTGCCCGGAGTCCAGCCCGATGTGCCTCTGCCCGGTGTGCCTCTGCCCGGAGTCCAGCCCGGTGTGCCTCTGCCCGGAGTCCAGCCCGATGTGCCTCTGCCCGGTGTGCCTCAGCCCGGTGTGCCTCTGCCCGGAGTCCAGCCCGTGTGCCTCTGCCCGGAGTCCAGCCCGATGTGCCTCTGGCTGGTGTGCCTCTGCCCGGAGTCCAGCCCGATGTGCCTCTGCCCGGTGTACCGCTGCCCGGAGTCCTGCCCGGTGTGCCAGTCTTTGATATCCCGCCAGTTACCAGACCCGGGCGGTGGAACATTTTTCCCAGCTAGGACTGTTTGGAGCGTCCTGAGGCCGCTCCTTGAGGGGGGGGGGGGGTACTGTCAGGAATGGACTGGCCAGCAATGGTGGGACTCACCTGCCTTTTGATCTGCAGTACCAGGGCTGGCCAGCGGATGCTCCCAGCAATCAGAGACTTAACTTTGCAGCCAGCTAACACCTGGAACTGATTATGCTGGGGTATTTAAGGGATGGCCAGACCCACAGACTCTGCCTTGGTGTTGTGTTTGTCCTGGGCCCTGCATCCTGTTTCTGTCCTGCATCCTGTTTCTGAACCGCTGCTGACTTCTCCTGCTCTGATCCCGGCTCGCTCCTGACCATCCTTCTGCCTGACCCTCTGTACCACGCTGCTTGCTACCTGTTCTGATCCCTGGCTTGTGACCCTGACCATCCCTCTGCCTGACCCTCTGTACCACGCTGCTTGCTACCTGTTCTGATCCCTGGCTTGTGACCCTGACCATCCCTCTGCCTGACCCTCTGTACTACGCTGCTTGCTACCTGCTGAACCTGGCCTGTGACCCCGACCAATCTCCGCTTGCTCCCCCTGTACCTTCCTGCCCTATTGATATTGACCCGGCTTGCCTGACGACGCTTGCTTGTATGTACTGTTATCTGTGGGTGGTTGGTTTGGTTTGGTTGCACTGTATTATGTTTTAGTATTGCACTGCGTTTATGTTTGTATTGTTAGTGTTAATAAATTATATTGTTTATAACATATCTGAGGTCTGCGTTTCCCTGCGTCAGCCACACATTTCTGGTCACACCTGGGAGCCCTGACAGGTATACTGTGTTGGGAAAAAAAAAAAAAGTTGGTTTGTCATCTTTTGGTTGGATGCAGTGCATGGGAAGGTGCCGCAAAGATCCAAATGGGTCCCAAGAGTTTTTTTGTTTTTTTTTTAAACAAAAAGTACTTTGTACTAGCTTTCTTTATTACTGTTAATACAACAATGGAGGATACATACACACTTGCAGCTTGATGAAGAGCTGTGTTATGCTTGAAACTGCATAGTTACGCTAATTTTTTATATGAAGATACACTTGAAGTAATGAAATAATTTTTGCAACTTGGAGATCTTTTTCTCATTGGTTTTTGGATGTTTTGTATGGATGGAATTATTGGAGCCCACCATTAATGAGATCCCCCGACAGATAAGACATACGTGTTTTAATATGGGGGATGCTCTGCTCAGCGGTACATGCTTTAGGTGAGTTTAGGCCAGACAGGAACTAAAATTAAGGGCCTGGTAGCCCACTTTTATTAAACAGTATCTGAAAGGTCTATTTGATACAAGGTTTCCCACGCAGGGGGTTTCAACTTCACTCAAAATACAGTGAAAATGCCAAGAAACCTGGCTCTCCAGTTAGCATTACCTCCGCTTGGCTTGGTCTCCCAGACCACTGACTATTCAGACTCACTCAGCCTAGGTGACAGCTCCTTGCTGTTCAGGCCCCACATGGCCTCTTGGCAGAGTTTTCCCTGTACCTTAGCTTGCTTCCTCCACAGACTCACGGGATTCCCTCCAGCCCCTTGGACTCACTTGCCTCTGCAGCTTCCTCAGCCCCCCAGGTCTCATAGTTGGTCAGAATTTCCCAGTCCTTGGGCCCAAAATCCCCCTCACAAGGGTTGTAGTCTCCACCAAGCACCTCCAGCTCTCCTGACAGTGCTCTGTCTTCAGGCTTGCAGCAATAGCCACTACTATTCCATCTCCACCACTACCTGCTCTAACAAGCCCATCGTTATAAGGGCTGTGTGCACCTGGGTACACACCCTGCTGGTTGTTCACAACTCCCGGACACAGTTGGAGATTCCATCCCGCCCAAGATTTAGGAATCTCTAAAACTACAGAGCCACATCTGGCAATACCCAGATCCAGAGAAAACTGCACAAGCAGTTTTCTCCATTCCAAGTCTATGCTCTGTAGCATTGCACTAAGCAGACATGCAAACTGTCTTTTTACCGGCCATTTTCATAGTGAGAGCCTTGCACTGTCACATACACCCCCCTTTGTTTCGATACGAAGGGAGGAACAAACTGCACCCATGATTATGGTTGGGACACCTCTGTGCCAGCTGTCCACCGCGTAGGCCCAACCCTTTTTTCGGGTGTGCTTCCAGGTACGCCCTACCCTGAATCTCAACAGGATCCTACAGTTCTTTATTCTCAGCCTTCTCCCTCTTCTCTAGGGGTCCCTGGGCTTATTCTCTTTTCCTAGGGGAACTCTGCCTTCCTCAATACTTCTTTTCAAGTCACCTACTGGGTCTTGTAGGGAATCTGCCACTGATGAGGAATCAGCTTCTCATCGCTACCAGTTTTACACCTCACCATAGGTCTTGCAGGTTGAAATACCTCTCTCTGGCTACCCATGGCAACGAAATCATTGTTAACCATACCAATCAATACTAGATCCCAAATTCCAGTATTACTACTTTCTCTCAGTGCTTGTTAGGACAAAACCTGAGGGGGGACCACGCACAGGCGAGCGTCTATGCCCTATGGGACCATCGCACAGCTCCCATCTCACCTGTTGTCCAATGCTCCATGGGTAGCTATCCTAAGCAATATGGCACCGATCCAAGCCCAAACCATTTCTTACTGTGATAATGTAGACAGGCGTACACATTACATTGTTACAGTAACCGTTACTTTTAGCTCTTTCCCCCGCTGCATCTTCAGGACATTAACCCGTACCTCTTTGCAAGTGACAGAAAGCATCTCCACTGGTGCTGAGTCTATTCCAGGCCCTTTCTTCCCATGAGGTCTAGCGTGTGAGACAGTATCTGTGACTTCTACCAACCACGGCTCAGCCACACCTCGGACCACAACAGTAGGAGTGTTCCTAATCACAGCAGATGGAGAGACCTCTGATGTATCCAACGGTTTTCCTGAGTGCCTGCCACACCAACCAGTAACTGGAAGCGCTCTCACAGGGAATTGGGAGATAATGTACCTAACTGTTAATAAGCATTGGTCCCACCAATTCCATTCTTGTTCAAGGATACCCAACACAGCTTGTACCACCCATTGGTACTATGTAGTACCACCTGACCCGACTGTGGTGGAGACACCCAGGTGTACAGCAAATGTACCTTTGCCAGTTCCAGCACTTCTAAAAATGTATTGATCATCTCAATACATGACCTTTTTAGGGACTTTACCCCTGTCAGAAATGTGGAAGGACTCATCCACTGAAGCTTGGGAGGTTGTGGATAGCACATCCGCCATGTCAGTGCCCTGAAGCGGTCTTTCAGACTGGAGGGGGATCAGGCTTCACAGGGGCTAACACACCCTCACCCACTGGCTGTTCTGCAATCCCTCCATAGGGCATAGTGGATGTTATGTCCACCCTGTTATTACACACAATAGTCTTGTAACGCATGTTCACATTGTTTAGTATGATGAGTGCATTCTTGCACCAACTATCCCAGTCAGTTGTGGTTCCATTATGCACGCTCCATAGCACTGCATCACCTGCTCTAGAAGGTCCTACAGGAACCTGAGGTTCATTAGCCAAAACAGCATATTTTTCACTTCTATATACACCACCTTGTGACACCATGCTGTTATTCCTACTACACAGATTCTGTATCCTCAATCAAGGCAGGCTGTAATACACAATTTGACCAGCTTGCTCTGGTGGCACTACCGACATTCTGCTTTGCACTCAGCTTTAGCAGGCTGAATTAACCCCTTATCAACCAAGTTAAACACATGGTTGTGGGGTTGCACCCAAACATTTTCACTTTGTGGTGCAATCCTCCCCTTTCCCACCAGAGACTGTGAGCAGCTCCTCACAGCATCCTCTCTCCTTAAAGGGGCGCTCTTGCCAACTTGGACAGCTCCACAGCTGACCTGAGAAACCCTCTGCTCCAACCCCACAGGCTCCTGGCAGGTCTCCCTGGGCAACTCTGCTGCCCTTGTCACTAGGGAACATGGTATGGATTTCTTTGGTCACCCCTAGTACAGCTCTCTGCTGGATTTTACCAGGTACAGAGTCTCCATGTCCTTTTTAGTCTTCAGTTCTGCTGCCAGTTGGGCTTCACCCTGTGCCTTTCCACTACTCTGGGTAGTACACTGCAGCGAGACCATGTTCATCTATACTGCAGGTCTCCCTGCTGGACACACTTCCACTTTATTGGGATCAGTCCCACAAACTGAAACAGTCTTACCAGTTCC